TGCAATTATAATCTTTTTGTAGATATTTCATTGAAAAAAATATAATTATATTTAATGACGCATATTAAAAAGGATTTTAACTGGATTATGTCTATGCAAATATTCCCTTTACAATAGCTATAAAAAATTACGTTTCAAGCCACGAATATCACAAACAAGTAACAAAAGCAATAAAAGAATTAAAAAAGCAATTTTGCGTAAGAGATAAATGCGTATTCAGGAAATTGAAGGAAATACTGTAAATTGGCTTTAATATTGACTAATAGGAAAAGCTAATGACCTTTTGCTTCCTATTCGTTACATTGTTGTTTATATCTAGAGTGCGTGTGACTAATCAGTAAAGCAGAATTAGTTTCTATTTAGATGGAAAAAAATAACAATGGTATTATTTCTATTATAGTTATTTTAATTTTATACAAAATAAATTTATATGATAAAAGTAATAGTAAAGTTAAATCAATTAATAAGTAATTTATTAAGGAATTTTTTTTTTAGTATTCTGTCGTCACAAATAAAGAAGCTTTACATTTCATGATATAATGTAAAGCAAACATTTTTTTTTAAGTTTGTGTGGAAATCGTCGCATTTTTTGCTGATAATTTTTCCTGATTAAGTTTACCTGAGTAAAATATGCATTGTTTACCGATAATGTGCTATAAACTAGAATATATTAAAATTACAATTAATTACAAATTATTCCATTAATACTACTCTTTTAAATAGTAAAATTCTTATAAATAGAAGAAAATATTATAAAAAGATAGGAAAAGAAAAAGTATTTTATAATATTATATGGAATGAGAAAAAAACAAAGATGTAATATACTTAGAAATATACAAAACATTAAATTTACATATTATTTACAAGTTTGTACGGTGATATTTGTTGATTTATTTATTTGTCAGCTGTTTTCTCACAAAATATACAATTCTAATTAAGTTAATAAATTAAAAACAATTCCTACTTTTTTTTCACTCTATTGCAGAAAGACCTTTATAAATAATTTTCATTCATTTTTTTAAAGTTTATCTGGCGCCATCTATTGGTAGATATATGGAACTTAAATCTAAAGAAAACTAAAATTAATTAATTAAATGTAATTACTGAATTAATATCTGAAAAAAACTGCATTAACATCACGTGCCATCCACTACCAGTTCAAAAAAAGGTATTTGAACTTGACTGGATGAATAAAAAGTAATTCATTAACGATTGAAAATTTTAACACGATATATATAGAGAGAGTGTGAGCTAATAGAATGAATTGAATAATGTTATTTAAGAATAAAAAGGCCATTCTAGAACAACTATATATATATAGAGAGAGAGATCAATAAAATAGATAGATAGATATATTTAAATTAAACAATCTAAAATGATATGAATTTATATGAAAAGTTTGTGTTGTACCATGGTTAGAAAACCAGCACATTTTCTTAGAAACTATATGCTAAATAAATTTCTATTTTAATTTTAATCATTACCAAATTATGATATGTTATGTATTTCTATTTTCCAGATACATGTTATGGATTTGTAATAAACTAAGTGAATGACATTAATTATATAATATTATTAATTTTATTTAAATAAATAATGTACAAATATATTTCCATGCATCAGATTTTAAATATTTAATATGTTATGAGGATTCATAAATATAATCATTTTACGCTGCATTCTGGTGTTAACATACTATACCAAGGCGTGAAATATTAGAAAATTTCTCAGATACGATGTGAAAATGAATTTCTTATTTCAATTTTAATCAATACCAAATTATAATAATCTATGTCTGTTTCCCAGATTCATATTATGGATTTGCAATAAACTAAAAGAATTACAAAAAATACGTAATATTACTAATTTCATTTAAATAAAAAAGTATCAGATTGCTAAATATTTATTATGCTATACGGATACATAAATATAATTATTTTATGTTATATTTTGCCGCAAGCATATACCAAGGTGTGAAAAACAGCAAAATATGTTAGAAAAAAATATTACATTACAGGTATATATAAATATAATTATTTTGTTTAACATAAAATTATTTAATTCGATTAAATATACAACAGTTATGTAATTTTTTGCATGAAGTATAGTATTGAATAAAAGTTAAAATGAATAAAAAAATGGCCATATAATCTTTTTACGTTTTTATTATAACTTCTGAAAGTCATGCATGGTCACATACTGTAAACATTGGAAGAAAATGAATGTAGTAGAAAATAATTAATTGCTAAAGTAAATATTTTCTAATAATTACTAAATTAAATATAAATAGCTGCTTAAAATATGATTTCATTCTAATCACTTGCTTGAAGATATAAAGAGTAAACAAAGTTAAGTTCATGGTTAATAATTTTATGTAAGGAAGTTATGCAAATTTCGTGATTTAATAGTTTCAAAAGATAATCATTAAACCGGTTTATTTAATGAAGCAAATTAAGATTCATAATGAATTTAATTCAAAATGTTGAATCCAGTTTTATGTACGGAATATCATAACATATCTGTGAATTTGTGAAACATTCATTATTTGAAAAATACCATTGCATTCATCATTAAAAATATCTGCTGATATAATTAAAATTCTTATAAATTAAATACTCGTTTAATTTTTTAATCTCATATTTGTGAATAATTATTATTTATGTTATTATCATTACATCATGATTAACATATTAATGAATTATACAATAATGTAGCATTTAAGCGTTAAAAAATTTCCTTAAAATCAATCATTTGTAGTATTTTAACACTGAGGATCAGATCATTATAACATTGTATTAAGAAAAACAAATCTAATAGAAAAGATATTTTAAAATTATATTTTTTATATCAATCTGTCTCTGTGTTACCAGCTGCATTAGAACAACAACAATATTCATTTGAAAATTAATTGTGATTGGATTTGTGTAGTATTTATCACAAAATAATTTTTTTATGTATCTGAATATATTTTTATATATTTTTATTAACGTATTCATATATATGAATGATACAATATGAAAGGGCATTTGATATTAATTTGCTACCAATTCAGATATTTATGGTGATACAGTAATTTCCCTTACTTAGTTAAAATTACTGTAATAAAAGAAGTTTATCATAGAGGAATCGAAACATTGAAGTTACTACTACTACACCACACCATATCACTGTGCCTAGGGCTGAATTGCCCCTTTACACTTTTGATGTTGGCGAAAATTCTGATTGGGAATGATGTCTGATTGGGCTTTGTGACGCTCTATATTCATATGAGACAGGGACCTACGGATTAACATGGATTCCGAACCACTCTAAACATCCATGGCATCACCGGGACTCGAACCCAGAAACCTGTGTCACCGAGAACCAGAGAACTAGACATTCGGCCATTCAGGCCTGAAACATTGCAGTTGAACATTTGGGGTTGAACATTCTCAGCATGTGGTTACTCAACATCTTTGCATTAGGATTATATTAATTTATTCAAATAACTGCTGACCAATGAGAATAGGATAATGATGCAATCACAAAGGGATTTGTGGGTAAATACCCAGAATTTCATGTTGGATGGTGTAAACTCGGAAACCTTTCACCGTATAGTACTACTCTCAATAAGAGGGAATTTCATATGCTGTTACATTCAATATTCAGTCTTCCTATTTCTGAAAGCAGCGAAGCACATCTACAGTCGATCTGAACCCTATACTCCTGTTTACAACCGGATACGAGTTTCCTGTATTTCATGAAAAAGATGTCAGTAAAAGCTCTGTAATTCATCTCTTCAGTGACCAGCTTTCAATGCACTTTTTTGGGGAAAATGAAGATCTGTCAGAACCAGCAGTGAGCCAATAGGTTTCATATTCAAAATATGAAATATAATGTTTTGAATTGATTTAAAACATACTTGATTGATACTTTACCTCTTGAGCCAACTCTCTAAGAAATCATATGACGATTTTTAAACTCCACCTTCTTCAACTTCTTGAATTTGCCGTGGTTTCTGTGGGTTATATCAATTTATGGTCGACCAGCCAATGAAGACTAACCATCGTTTCTCGTCCTTCTTATAATGCTTTATACTATTCACATTTTTTTAACTTTTTGGCCTGCACGATTCACCGTAGATCTCTGTAGCATTTTTTAGGGATTCCAAGCTTCGTTTGAAATACAAAATTTGAGGAGAAGTCTTTGTTCAACTAATTTTTCTGTATTAAAAATCGCAAAGTAGTCACAATATGTGAATACAAAAACAGCTGTTAACACAACGAGTGACAGATCGCGCTGAAATTTCACATGGTAGCTTAATACAGTTTTTCTATATATATATAACATGCGAGAGCATTTAGTGTTTTAAATTATCAATTCCAAATGCCTTCTATGCAAAATGTATAAAAACTAATAGGTTTCAGCAAATTTTCTTATTACAGAAAATGATTAATTTAAGGTATTTATAAAGAAGCGTGCCAATTGTTAAAAATAAAATTATTCAAATGTAACATTCTAATAATACTTTACGGTCAGTTTTAATTATAGTAAAAAAAATTAGAAATCTATGGGTATTGAATCCGAAAGATTAGGGTACAAAATATTTCTGTCTTCAAATTTAAATTCATCTGGCATAAACGATGAAAGGAATTTCGGCGAATTTTTTAGTATGAATTCACTGAATTTTGGCGATATTTTAAAGTTTAGATATATATGTTAGTTGTTGTTGTTTCTTATCCCACTTGGCTGGCCCTACTTGGCTGGCCAAGCCCACGAGCCCCTACGTACTCATGATTGAAGGGGAAGGAAGCAGCTTCTGTTGTGATGGAGCACCCGTAGGTAGAAGCCTGACTTTTGCTCCGTGACGCTCTTACAGTCATAGGAGACCGGGACCTACGGCTTAAAGTGGATTCCGAACCACTACAAACATCCATGGCACCGCCGGGATTCGAACCCGAAACCTGTGGCATCAAGCGCCAGAGCGCTAGACACTCGGCCATTCCGGTCCCAAATTTGCCAACGGCACGCGGTGTTCCCAGGTGGTCACCCTCCCAAGTACTGACCGCGCCCAATGATGCTTGACTTCGGTGATCTAACGAGAACCGGTTTAGATATATATAAAAACACAAAAAGATAATTTTTAAAAAAATGTTCATTTATACTCCATATGATTAATTAATTTAAAATGAGCAATGATGATTTTGGTAACAAAATTTAATTTGAAATGGTAAAATATTTTACTTTAACCAATAAACCATACATGCATTAACGATAAACTAGATGTTCTTTAAAATGTTTGAATTTTACTGATATTTTAACGTTTAGATACATAAAAACACAAAAAGATAATTATTTAAAAAAATTTTCATTGATACTCCATAAGATGAATTAATTTTAAATAATCAATGCTAATTTTCGTAACAAAATAATTCTATTTGAAATTCCGAAATATTATGCTGTAACCGATAAACTAAGTGTTTTTTAAAATCATTGAATTTTTGCTGATATTTTAATGTTTAGATACACAAAAACACAAAAAGATAAGTTTTAATTATAGTAAAAAAAAATATTTGATATCTGTGAGTATTGAATGAAAGATTAATGTATAATATCTTCTCTAGTCAAATTTATATTCATCTTACATAAACCATTAAAAGGGATTTACTTTAAAATCATTGAATTTTGCTGATATTTTAACGTTTAGATACACAAATAATTTTTTAAAAATATTTCATTGATACTCCAGATCATAAATTAATTTTAAATTAGCAATCACAATTTATGTAACAAATTAATTTAATTTGAAATGGCGAAATGCTATACTGTAAGCGATAAACAATACATAAAGATAAACTAGGTTTTGTATAAAAATCATTGAATTTTGCCGATATTTAAATGTTTAGATACATGAAAACACAAAAAGATAATTTTAATTATAGTAAAAAAATATATTCGAAATATTATACTGTAACCGATAAACGGTACGTACATAAACGATACATACATTCTTTAAACCCATTGAGTTTTATAGATATTTTAATGATTAGATACATAAAAACACAAAAAAGATAATTTTCTTTCATTGTTACTACACATGCGAAATTAATTTTAAATTAGCAATGATACTTTTTGTAACAAATGATTTTATTTGAAATGGCGAAATTTATACTCTTACCAATAAATGATACATGCATTAAAGATAAGGTAGGTTTTCTTTAAAATCATTGAATTTTGCCGATATTTTAATGTTTAGATATATGAAAACACAAAAAGATAATTTTAATAATAGTAAAAAATATATGCGACATATCATACTGTAACCGAGAAACGGTACATACATAAACGATACATATATTATTTAAAATCATTGAATTTTGTAGATATTTTAATGTTTAGATATATAAAAACACAAAAAGATAATTTTTTTTCATTGTTATTACACATGTTAAACTAATTTTAAATTATCAATGATAATTTCTGTAACAAAATATTTTTTTTTTTTTTTTTTTGAAATGGCGAATTGCTATATTGTAACCATAAACGATACATACATTAACATTAAACCAGATTTTCTTTTAAATTATTGACTTTTGACGATATTTTAACGTTTAGATACAGGAAAACACAAAAATAAATTTTTTTTAATTTGTCATTGATATTATATATGATGAATTAATTTTTAATTAGAAATAACTTTTGTAACAAAATAATTATATTTAAAATGCCGATATATTACGCTGTAACCGCGTCTTGCATATGTGCTTTTTTCCAAATATAAAAAAAAAAAAAAAAAAAAAACGTAATTTGATTCAATGTTATCTACAATTGGGATTTATTTGAAACAATTTCCGATACCAACGTGCTTTGCATTTATATGAGATATATTGATTTCTAGCACAAATATTGTTTAAGAAAAATGCTAAATCTACAGCACTGAACCAAAGTTTCTCACCTCCTTTCAGAGTCACAATACATGGCGCCTGATGAAATATTTTTGTTTTTCCTGTTTTCACTTTTCAGGTTAAAATTTTCGCCTTTAAAAATGTATGGCAACACTTTTTTGCATTTTTAATGATATTTACTTGTTACGCTCCCGTGACGTCAGACATGTGTTGCCATGACAACTGCAGATCGCTATCGATATCAATTCCGATGTAAGCTTTGATAGCGTACAGAATTCTTTAAGATCAAACGAAGAAAACATGAAGATTTTTCGATGCGTGAAATACTGCTGGTGTCAACTCAAGCTTAAATGAAAGGCGTTATTTTTATTAATCAAACAGAAACGGAAATATATATTTGATGTCAAACGAAAAGTAATTGGAAAAATTCTCACATTATTTGTACTTTAAACTGGATTTCTTTTAGGAAGTTGTTATAATGACAAGTTTTTTTTTTAATAGAACCACTTGAACCTTATTTTGGAAACTGGTAATTTAAAATATAAAAATAACTATTCATGCTTAAGAAAATGATGTTTGGAAATTGAAATTTCCAGATCTTTCAATTTATTAATTATATTTATGAGTGAAATTGGAAATTAAGCTGAAGTCAAATTAGTTTTTACATTAATAATATTTTTGAAATGGATTTAAGAATTATATAACAAAAATGATGAAAGTTGGAAAAAATTCCCTCTTCCTTTATTATAAAAATTAGGATTTTTGTAGATATGTTAAATATTTTTGTAAATACGTTAAATATATTTTTTGATATGTTAAATATTTCCGATCTTGTCTAAGTATTTTTGTAAATATGTCAAATATATATTTTTTTGATGTGTTAAATATTTTTGTAGATACGTTAAATATTTTTGTTCATATATTAAATAATTTTAATGAGTGCTGTCTCCATATCGCTGGCACAATATATAAAGAAGATCTAGAAATCGACTCTAAAAGTTATCATTCATCAATTCATCATTCTTATTGATATAAAAAATAAGACATTCTGGTTTACAGATTTATTATGCTTCTGGCTTACAAAAATTTAGTATGAATTTATTTTTAATATTTTATACACTAAATTTTGAAAAACATTAACCATAAATATATAACAAAATTATATAGAAATATTTTTGTTTCATTAAATTCTAATACACCAGCAATACGTTTATGTTAATCGATATTATATTAATGTATTAAACGTAATAAAAGGAAAATATAAGTTGGGTAATTAATCAATTTCATGGAAATATATATATAAAGGTATTAAAATAAATTAGTTTTTTTTTAAATTGCGTGAAAAGCATATTTGTGAATTTCTTCAATATGTGGAGTGCATTAATTTGAAAGAGAGCGCACTAATTTTGCGCTAATTCTATCTTTAAATTTATTTAAATAAGTTTCAAATATATAAGTTTTATTAAAATTAAGTTAAATTAGGTTGAGTTATAATTAATTTAATAGAAACATTTATAAATATAATTAAGTTACTAATTTTGGACTGATTTTATATGAAGTGCACTAATTTTGGACTGATTTTATATGAAGTGCACTAATTTTTGTTTTTAATTTATTTAAATAAGTTAAAAATATGTATAAAATTTATCACAACATTTTACAAAACATATTGATTAATCTTGAAAATTTATTAAAAATTAAAGCTTGGCAAAATATTACTAATTGGTAAACAATGAATAGTTGTTTTCTGCTAATGATTATATTCTAGCTGTGTATTAAATATACACTCATGTCCATAAATTAAGGATAATGAAGTTCAGGCAAAGAAAGAGACAGAAGCAAAACAAATTTGACTTATTTGTAAAGTCTATTTATTAAACAAAAGGTAAAGAGCAAAAAAGATGCTACATGTTTGAAATAATGAATAAAAATTGCGATTTTTACTCCCTGGAACAAATTTCAAAAAAGAACTTATTTACAAAAAAATAGTATAACATGGTTAGTATGATGGCTAATATGGAGTATGTCTCCCGGACGATGCAATACAGGCCTTACAACGCCTTGGCATGCTGAGTATCAAATTATCAATCTGATCTTGGGGAATATTACACCACTCATCAAGCAATGCCCTCCGAAATTCGGGTTGAGAAGTGGGAGGGGGTTGACGGGCTGCAATTCGTCGGTCAAGCATATCCCACACATGCTCTATTGGATTCAAGTCCGGTGAGTATGCTGGCCAATCCATACGGGTGATATCCTCCAATTGAAGGCATTTGTCTACAATGTTTGCACGGTGAGGACGGGCGTCGTCATCCATAAACAAAAATTCAGCACCCATGGCGCCCCGAAACAAACGTATATGTTGTTCCAGAATGACATCCCGATAGACGTGGCCTGTCATCGTTACACTCTGAACGTGCAGGTCAGTTCTGGAACCAAGAATAATTCCTCCCCAAACGAGCCATCCTGCACCACCGTAACGGAGTCGTTCAATGGTGTTCTCTTGGTGGTAACGGGTACCTGGCGCTCTCCATATGAAAGTGCGGCGAGAATCAGACTGCAAACTAAACCTGGACACGTCGGAAAACATCACACAAGACCACTGTTGCGGTGTCCACAATGCATGCTCTCTACTCCAGGTTAATCGCAGGCGACAGTCATTTGCTTTAAGTGGTACACATCTGACAAGCCTACGAGCATATAGACCAATGTGCCCTAAGCGTCTGTACACGGTCTGCCTTGAAACTGTCGTACCGGTAGCTGAAGAGAGCTGACGAGACAGGTCTGATGCTGTGCTCCGTCTGTTTCTTTTGGCAGTAACTGCTAAATACCGATTCTCATTCGGCGTTGTAACTCGGGGGCGACCTGTGCTGTAACATCTACTCACATTACCATCAGCTTGGAATCGTTGCCAAAGCCTGAAGATGACACTCTGGGCGATTCCAAGTTCCTCGAATACTTTCAGCTGGGTACGTACACCTTCCAGTCGTCCGATAATTCTACCACGTAAAAAATCATCCAAATGCTTCCTTTGTGCCATAACTATGCGGTTATAGCACTGAAAGGCTTTTAAAGAGCTTGTGAACAATTTTACTTCTTTGCCACCATTCCTTATATACTCCTCTCTTACACTCTCGTCATTGTGACGTACTATCCGCGTCATCTGGTGGTTTCCTGTAATTTGCATATTCTTCTTCAAGATGTGT